GATAACCGGCTACAGTGTTTACAAAGCCTGACATACTTGCACCTAAGGCGGAAATGCAACGGGAATAACAGCCTGCAGCAACAGTGCAAACCGGGGAATAAGCATGCCGACGGAGAATGTTCAGCATGTGGTTTGAACTTAGCCTACGATTTTAAGAACCTGACCAAAAATCGTTGCGCCAAACCCTTTTTTTAAGTTTACTTAGTTATTTTAGTAATTGCACTGAAGTATTTTAATAACTACTGAATTATTTATTTTAATAATAAATGTCACACAACGTTAATAATAATGTCATTCAGCGTTAATGATTAAGTTTCAGTTTTGATTTAAACACTAATATTTTAATAAATACAATTAATGTTATTTTTCTCTGTCACACTTGGCCCTTTTTGGAGTTTGACTGAACTGTCTAGGCCTATGATATGCCGTATATATATTTTTAGAAATAACAATTGATTTATTTTTTTGAAAACACAATATGCATTTAAATGGTTACAGCATTTAAATGACAATATAAAACGACCTTGACGCCATTTTCATATAATGTCGAAGGCCTAATAGGTACTTGTGTAGGCCCTGTTTTCGAATGGTGTTTGACTTCCATTATTGGAGGTTGGTGGTAAGATTTAGCAACTTGTACCCTAATCAGTAGCAAAAGTTGTATGAATATTGCCGTTGATATGCTGTAGGCCTATATCGTTCTTGTTAAATCTGTCTTGAATTATGAATATTGATGGTGATCATAACTGTCCACACCACTTACCTGTTGCGAGTCAAGATGAACAGACGGCATTAACTATGGTAATCGCCTACCTGTTGGATATAGCCCACACAAATACTTTGTGGACGAAGGCACAGAATACAATATGTTATAAAAATATCTAGATAATAACATTATACTCACTGAAAATGGAATGTGCTAACACTTTAAATCTAATCGATTATTTTATTTAGAAACAATACGTCGTCGATCACAGATCAGTTGATGGGTATGGGCCGCCAACAGATCGAAAGACAACGAACAGAGTGGGCCCAGCCAAGATCTAGCCTTGCGGGACCCCTCCGTTTACAGTCACCTAAGAGGACAGAGCATTACCAAGTTTGACACGTTGTTTCCTCTGACACAGAAAACAATGGACCCATCTGACAATATGGTCATCAACCTCACGATCTTTCAACTTTTGCACTAGGAACCCGTGATCAATCAGGTAATAGGCCTTCCAGAAATCAATTAATAATGCTCGGATCTCTTCACCTTTATCGGCAGCAGCAAAGCATTTATGTACGAATTTAATCAATGCATCTGTAGTGGAAACCCCGTTACTACACCCAAATTGATTTTTAAAAAGGAGGCAGATTCGGGCCGCATCTTTACCCACCACCCCCCACCCCCCTCTCAAAAAAAAAAAAAAAATTAATTAATAAAAAAAAAATCCGCCCCTGGATCTACACGAGGAGCGAGGGAGTGCCCGATGGATGAACAAAGGGGGTGCAAGACTGGTTCGGCTGTGGACAAGTTCGGCCGCAATATATTTGTATGGAACGCCAAGTAGGCGCAAAGCTGTGCATGCTACGTGTGTGGTGGTTATTCTATTGCTGCTACAGTATCCATTATTTCGTGTTTTATTGTTAGGTCTTCTTAATATGCTGCCAAATAATTAATGTGGTTTTAAGGGAATCAGGTCATTATTATGGTGCCATTAGTTTGCCAAAACAACAGTGGATTTTATTAGGTTTGTGTAAGTCCCGGGTAAGTTAATAATTAATGATTTAGATGGCATATAATTCGTTTTATCTATTTGAAACAAACGAATGTACATTATAATGCAATCATATGTTGATAATCGTGTTGTATTATCGGGTCTTTATGCTGCAAATTAATTAATGTGGTTTTAGGCAATTCAATGGCATTATACTGCGATGAGTTTAAGAACAAAACACTGGATTTTATTAAGTTTGTGTAAGTTATTAATAATGTTTTAAGATTCATATATTTCGTTTTATCTACTATTTGAAACAAACGAACATTGGATTTCATTAGGTTTGTGTAAGTTAATAATAATGTTTTAAGATTCATAATATATTTCGTTTTATCTATTTGAAACAAACGAATTCATATGTTGATAATCAAACCAAAGGGTTTTATTATTTTCATATTACAGTACCGATGCATATTATTTAAGAACAAGAAGAATGTTGATAATGTTAATATACTGCCAAATCAGAGGATTTCTATTATATTTTTCGTAATATTATTAAAGTATTTGATGCTTTGTTTGACCTACGGAGGCCTACAGTAGTGATAACGTCACCGGCCTAGGCAGAAGGCTATCTAAATCTGTCATGATATTTTGGCTAATTTTTATATCATCCAGGCCATATGGAAATTAATAATCGCTACTAGTATATAAGATTCGATGTTTCTCACTGGAAATTTTAGAAATCTACACAATCAGAATAACCAGTCATTATATATAAATCTAATGTTTTTTTGGTTTTTTATGTTTATAAGATCTTTCGCCATAGTAACAACTAGGATGTCCTCAATACCAACAAAAACATTTAAAAAAAACAAAAAAAAAAACCCCATAAATCTTCATTAACATGTCAAACACTTATTCGACTTCACCTGACCAGTCTGGTATAGAATGGTCAGCATATTGTAAAGGACTTGTACACAATAAAACCAATCTCTTATAGTTTTCAATACTTTTTCCCCTGAATTTGTGATACTGTAATCTGTTATCATGCATAGATTTGTGCTAAATGCGTGACAAATTCAGGACCACGCATTGTGTCTGCAAAATGCACGTTTCATTCAAAATCACTTTGATATGCGGGACTATACTTTAAATTTCCTAGACCTTCTCATGTATATTATTGCAAAATCAGCCTAATCGCGTCACAAACGAAGGCCCTGATAGAAAAAGAAATGGCTTTAATATTCGCCCAGAATCAATGTATAAGCCCTTTCCCTCACAGAGTAGGCTAAAAACCATCCACCCCCACCTTCTCATTCCGTTGTCAAGAAAAACTAATTCAAAGCTGTGACCAAAATGTATTTCAAATATTTTGATAATTTATTGGTTCACTTTTAGTTGTTACAATTTTGTACATTTGAGAAACTTCTTATTGTATAAAGCAAATGAATGACTGCAAAATATAAACACAAATAATAATGGTTTTCACTATTAAAGCAGAGAACAGTGAAATTATAATTTCACTGTTCCCTGATTAAATATTCTATATGTTTTATTTAAAAACTGAAAAACCACAAATAAAAACAGGAAAATATATTTATAACATGGTGTTAATTAATTGTTTCTCATGATGAAAAATTCTTTATCAGTACAAATTCAGTGTAATTAGTGCCTGTCACATAATATCGGAAAAAAACAAACCATCAAAAAGCTTATTTAAAGGCATCAAATTAATTATTAACTTTCAATGCACAAAGAAAAAAAATGTTTTAGATGATATATAGATTATTTTACAGCACTACAAAAAACTTAAAGCAAATTTAAGGGGCTACAGGAAATGAATACTTTTTGAATGTTTGTGTATACAAAGTTTCCCCAAATACAATTTTCTCTAGTATACAATCAAATTACAGATCACCTTCAAATTAAAGACCACTTTTGGGATCAGAGGTTTCCATGGCAGCTTTGGTCTCTAATTAGAATAATAAGGACAAGACTTTTGTCAAGTTGGGACCACAGGAAAGTTGTCTTTAATTGGAGGTGGTCTATAATTGGAGGTGGCCTTTAATTGGAGGGGTTTTTAATTGTGGCAAAGGCAAGCCAAACCAGTCACTCGTCGTTAAAAAATCGATTTTCAGTTATTAATACCAGGGGCGGATTCAGAGATGTCCAAAAGAGTGGGGGAGGGGGGGCGGAAGTTGGTTCGATTGAGACAACACACTATCATTTTTGTGTTCTAGACGCCTGAAAATTACATTTGAGGTGTTCTGGGCTTTTTTTTTTTTTTCTTTTTTGGGGGGTGCCGGGGCCTGGCCCAATTTCACCCAATTTCAGCCCAATTTTTTTAAAGAGTAAAGTAGGAGCTAAGAAATGGTAAAATTTTTTTTTTAAATCCGACATTTCCTTATAAAGTTAGAAGCATTTAAACATACAACTGTTTAAAGAACAATATACTAGAAATCAGCCATCAAAGTTTATGATTTCGGGCATTTCTCATGCAGAAACTGTCTTCAAATCCTTAAAAAGTGTTGTTTTAACATTTAAAATGGGAAAAATAACAGCAGCACAGCATGATGTATAGATATATAAAGTTTAGTTTAGTGCACTAAAATAGATTGACACAATAATTTGACATTCCAGCATGTTTTGGCCATTTTCTCTGAAACACATTTTGCGACAGGTGACTGGTTTGGCTTGTCTTTGCCACAATTGGAGGGAGACCTACACGTATTCACATGGTTCTGATACCATATCTAGAGGGGAATAAACCATTAGAACATGCATGAAAACAGAATCAACTCTTTCATAGACTCAACTGCCTATCAAACCTCATATCACACAGACATTCACAATTGGCTTAAACTATCATCTTTATAAAAAAAATGTTCTTTAACCATTGTTAATCTTCACAGTATATATATAGTATCTGCATACTGAAACAAATAAATATAACAAACTTTAAAATTTAGATCTGGTCAACTAAGGCCAAATATAAATTGTTTATGTCATTTAACCTCAAACCTTTTTTTCAACTAATTATCCCAGCAAAGTTTCTTTACATTCAATATCTACAGGATTAGGCTTTCCTTTCATAGCAGCCTTAGTTTGTCAAATTTACAGATAAAATGTTACCAAGACAAGGTAAGCAACACTCTTTATCATGTAGAACTGACTGGTTAAACCATGCGCATTGCATGTAAAGTTACTGTGATATTTCATTGATATTATCGGTATGTTTACATCTATTGTGCATGTGTTTAATTATCGATCAAAAAATTATATTCATAGTACACCAAATACCGTAAACCTCGAATAGAAGCCCTAGGTTTCCTTTTTTGCTAACATTCGATGGGCTTCTTTCAAGGCTAATATTTTGGTAAGTCAAAAAAGGGTGGGGGGGCTTCTTTTCTAAATGAATGCTGTAATTACTACTGCAAAACAATGAATAGGGTCACTGTAACATCAGTCTGTATCATAGTTTATTAATTGGCATTAAATCACCTAAACTACTGTGTTAAAACCAATATTTTTAATTTATTTTGTTTATTGAAATTCATGTAGAGTGCATATACAGCACTGTACTCTCTCGAACAAAGCCCATGTTATCTTGAAAAGAAGCCCATGGATTTTTTTTTCGAGATGGCTCCTTTTCATGGCATAATTTGCAAAGTAAAGAGGAAGGCTTCAAATTGAGATGATTTTACGGTATTCAACAACAACCCATTTTGCACTCGGGACAACCAAATTTCCAATCAGAACATTATTTTAAGTAGTTTTTCTAGTGTAAGTGGCTCAAACAATTGTATCATGCCTGATTATAATCATTTCAACTAATAGAAAATGAAGAAATACCATTTCCACTATAATATAGTGGAAATTTCAAACTACAGTATTATAGCTATCAATTCAATTTAAAGAGGCCTGGGGGTTGGGGGAGGGTCACATACAGAAATCATTTTTTGTCAAAACATTCTCTAAAATATCATAGTGTATTTTGAGGGCACCATTTATAACCATACACTACAGTGTACTGTACGATGGTGGCTACTTTAACAAATACTATACAATACAGTAGAGTTTTGTGTGGAAGCAGTTTGGCACAGTGGGAACGGTTTGGTTTCCCAACCTCGAGGTCGGGGTTTTAATCCCTCGCATTGCATTTGGCTTGCGTCCTTGAACAAGGCACTTTATCTACATTGCTTCCCTCCACCCAGGAATATAAATGGGTACCAAGGCTGTAACACTTAAACATGTGGACCCAATGACCAGTGAAAAACTTACATCGCTTCGTATGTGTAAAGAAAGATGCTATATAAATGACCAGATTAGGTAAGACTACTCTTTTCTGGGAATCTTCATATTTTTTTTTTATTAAAAAGTGAGGTGTAGTTGTAAATTTGTTATATATACATTTTTACTGTAAATTAATGCATAAACAGGTACCTAAGTTGCAGAATTTTATTTTAAGGCAAAAATCTTCAGTTTTGAAGACTACAGTATTCCAGAAATTTAAGAAGCACAACGTATGCCTAACGTCCCCTCCACGATTGAGAATGATGTACAGTAGAAACTATTATTGATATTATTGCTGCTATGGACAAGAATGTCTGTTTCATAGTCGATAACAAACAGACCAAGTACAAGTATCTCGCAAATACATCATATTCTTTTGTATTGTATAATGCTGTTGATGTTGCCATCTGCACCAACCCACATAAGCTGCAGTTCTAAAAAGTATTAAGGAATATACTGAGGAGTCTGTTGAGTTTATAACTGGGTTCTAAGTCTACCGGAAGTTGCAGGAGTCTCCCAGAAATTGGGACGCCGTCCCACACTCCCGCAAGCAAGCAGAACATGCAAATTCATAATATTTGCATATTTTTACTACTTAATTATCAATTGTCTCACAGAAATCAGTGCTGATGGGTAATACCATGGGCATTGACATAAAATTAAATATATTAAGGAAGCTCATTAACCAGATCTAAAGAAAGCGAACTACAGTACGGACCCCTGGGAATATTTCTATTTGGTGGCGCCCTTTAAAACTTGTCATGACAAAATGAGGAAGAAAGTTGCCCCATTCGTCACATCACTCACTAACAAGTATACTAATATATTTTGTTGACATTGGTTCGTTGCTTATTATAATGGGAATGTATCCACCATATTCCGTAGTATGTGGAATAGATGCACTCACTATCTCCCTTCAGTAAATCCATCCACACATTTCATACCGTGATAACATTACTGTAAGTCTACGCATACACAATGCAATGGGATAGCTATCGTTTACTTGATCCGAATCCTGAGAAACCCATCATGGCTGCCATCTCGGGGTCCATTTCTTCACCATCGTCGTCAGCCTTTCTTTTCCTATCTTTCCTTTTTTGTTTCCTGTATGCTTTCTGCTTCTCTTCCTAATAAATGGGGAAAATATTAAAAAAAAAGAATCTTTTCAATCTAAGTTACAGTACAATAATCTTTCGATAACACTGTAATAGATAGTAATTGTTATTGTGGTGATGGAATAATAGACAATAACTGGATTTGCGTCAGGAGAAACATGTATAGGTATAATTTTGCCCTACCTGACGTGGAAATGTACCGAATACTCAGTACATTTTATGTAATTACAATATATTATGTAATTACAATATATTATGTAGTGAAATATTTTCTAGGTACATGTATTAGATTATGATGCTGATAGTGCCATGATCATTATATGCTTGAAAATTATAATAAGGATGATAAGGTTGATTATGATTTTGCATACAAAAAACTAGCATACAACTTTACTGTTTAAATTCAAAATTACTATTATTATTGTAAGTATGTATTCGCATTACTTACGGTATATCATGATCATAATTTTAATATATTCATTGCAGTGACAGATCCAGGAACATGAAAGAGAGGGCACAGAGGACTTTCCGAAATGGTGGGTGCAGACCACCTCAGCCACACCATGGTTAAGGCTGAGGTAAATTTATAATTATGGCAACACAAGATGGCCGGAAATGACACTCTCAAACTTCAATATGAATATAATTTTCTTTTTTTTCTCTCCATTTTTTTTTATAATTTTGAAAAATTTAGGGGGAAGGGGGACCCCACATTGCATCTGCCACTGATTATTGCTGTACTATTAGCAATAATAATATCAATAGTAAATTGTATATTAATACTCATATTGCACCATCAACATCTCTAAATGATCAACATTCGTTATATATTATTTCATACATATATTATTACCATTTTACTAATATTATCACAATGATAATGATAATAATAAATGTATAAAATAATAATTAATAGAATGTTACTACAGTTAAACTTGCCTAAGTCAAATAATTTCTAAGTCGATCAAATATGACATGCCAAATTGTTGTGTTTTCCATTAATTAACAATCTGTACGTCAAATTTTATCTAAGTCGAAAAATATTTCAATAGCATTTCGGATTCGACTTAGGCAAGTTCAACTGTAGTATTATTATCGTAATTAATAAAATTATTGGTGAATTCATTACCTCTTCCCTTAGTTCAACCATTCTGGCCTCAAAATCATATTCTTTTTTCTTCTCTTCTTGTTTTTTCTTATTCATCTCGAACCTTTTCTTCACTTGATCTAAACTTGACCGCTCCACTCGCATGGACATTCCCAGATTCCTTTGATCTGATAACAAAAAAGGTCAAAGTGCGAATAAAGTAGGAAGAGATTCAAAGAGAAGAATATGTAAATTATCACTAGGGCTGTGGAAAATTTGTATCAAGATGAAAGGTAACTTTGCTTTGTCTAAATCTTGCTGCTGTTTGCACTTGGGTATAAATACACAGTATTTTTTGACTGAGATCTGGTTAATAGTAGTATGGTTAAAATGGTTAATCAAATGTACAACCAAAATGCTCATTTCACTTTATGGACAAAATACACTAAAATTGGTAACACATAGTGGCTCAAAGGCCTAATTGCTTATGAGGAGCCTTCTCAATATAAAAACAAATACTGAAACACATATTTATAATTTTAAAAAATCTGACAATATTAGATATAAATACACATAAATACAAAAACTAGCTAAAATACTATGCTGGGTATTCGTGCGTCGTACGACAGTCACACAACCATCGGCAGACAAATCTGACTCCGTCCCGTGAACGCAGTCTGAAAGCAATCTGTTGCGTGCGCATTGTGGCACTGCATTCTCCGTAGAATTGCGTCGGGCGACGGAGTGTCCGGCTTTATGGCATGTTTTTGAAGAAGACAACTCCAAATTTTGGATGCAAAATAAAAACTTTCACTTTACGCGCAATACCAGGGAGGTTTAAAGAGTGTGCATTGGTGTTTTCTGCTCCGGAAAGCAGCCTGTTACTCTTTCTGGCCACGATTCGTTTTTGTTAAATCTACCACACAGATTGGAAAATATGACCAACTGGAATATATACAGACCAGGTATATGCTTAGCTTGACTAAAAAAAATCAAATTCATACAGGCTATTTAACGCACCTCTATGGCGACAAATAGTTCTGCTTATTGGGTTACAAAAATAGGAAGGACTGTTGAGTTTTCATTGGAATAGGAATTTAGTTGACAGACTGAACTTTTGCACTCCCTAGGCAAAACCAATCTACACCTCTAATAGTAATATATTAAAAAAAAGTATGACATACGTTTTTTTCCATTAATATGATCTAAGAAATTGATGGAATCCTTCACGACACAATCGCATACGTTACAGTAATAGCCACCCATCTGTGAAGACGGTGTTGTCTTCGTAATGACTTGCGATTTTCCCAACTTCGATTCCAAGTCAACCTTGTAGTCTCGCTGACGGAGTAATTCTCTCTTAACTGGTGGTTCATTGTACCTCCTATCTGAAAAAATAAAATAGTTGAATGCAAATTAGATTTATAATATATTTACTGTACCACTTTAAATAACAATCTTCAAAGGAGCTTTCTTTGTTTTTGTAGGTAGCTTTGATCAGTAGGGTAAGATTGCTTTGATCTTTAGTTTATTTATAGCTATGTAACCTACTAGGGGTAATGTTTTGACTGGTCAAACACTTTTGGTACTTGTGCATATAAGCTTGCAAATATGGATAATTTCTCATTCCTGATGACATAATTAATGTTGAAATATTGAATCCTGACACGATGGCCTGCATTTCGATACTTGGAGTATGTATTATACTATATTATAACAATCTTGGTTTTATATTTTAGTACATTTCTAGTTAATTATTGAAGTAATGGGTACGGACAAAAAAAATTCCTGCTTCAAACAAGGGAACTATTCATATACTTCCTAGACCAAACTCGAAACTTTATGCCGCGCACTCACACGACGGTTGCCCAATGAATTCAACTCCACTCCCTGTGAGCGCTAGGCGACGTAACGCCATCTGCTGATTGTAGGTGGCAGTCTGAACGGAACGTTGTTAAAAACGATCTTTTGCGCCTGTGTCGTGGTGGCGCACTCACACGACGGTTGCCCAATGAATTCAACTCCGCTCCCTGTGAGCGCTAGGCGACGCAACGCCATCTGCTGATTGTAGGTGGCAGTCTGAACGGAACGTTGTTAAAAACGATCTTTTGCGCCTGTGTCGTGGTGTTTCGTTCTTCATAGAATCGCAGTGAGTGCCCAGCTTTAGAATGATGTAGAAAGTTAAAAATATGTGGCGAACGGAGAACAAGAAATTATTAGATGATCTTAGGGTGCATCCAGGAGAAATACGTCCAGGCGCTGTACATGTTAATGATTATCAAGGTGAGTTTTAAGTAATTTAAATGAAGCAGCAGGCAGTGAATTCCAAAATGTAGGTGTGGCAAAAGAGAAAGATTTATGGCCAATAGTTTTTAAGGATGTGCAGGGAACAGAGAACAAGAAGTTATTAGATGATCTAGGGTGAGATTTTAAAAGTGCGTAAAAAAGAGAATGGCCATTCCGGCTCAAATCAGCTAGAAATTTAAAAGTGCCCCTGTGAACCCTCTTGGATTTTCTTTAAAAATTTCTAAAAATACCTTGATGTGTCAAAAGAAAGAATCCAAAATTTCAGTTTCAATTTCCAAGCGGTTTTTAAGTTAAGACCTTTTGGAAATTTAGTTGCCACGCCCCCTTTTTCATTCCGGTATGGCTCCTTTAACTTTGTACAGTTTTTACGAAGCTATACCTTCTAGAATAACAAAGATAAAAAGTTGTGAATTGCTACATAGACAGATATAGCTTTGTAACAATGAACAAAAAATAATATAATTATACCTCTTTTCTCTCTTTCTTGTAATTCTTGATCCAGCCTTGCTTGGGCAATTTTCTCATACTCATCTCTGTCCCATTTCCTTCGATGATCTTCAACTTGCTACACAAAAAGATATTAAAAATGAAATTAATATTGTACAAAACAGCATGCAAATCTATGATGTCAAACAGGATAGGTTTGCATGTGCTTTTAGCTAATCCTCACAAAAACACTGTGTAAACAAATATTCCATTTACTCTTACATCTACTGTACTCCATCTGAAATATCAGAGACTAAGTTTGACCACAAATTTGCAATGGGTGAGACTTTCAAACTTGTCCTTCTGTGGAATGGGGAAGGGGGGCTGATGACTATTCCCCCAGAAACCTTTTCCCTAGATTTTTTTAAAAAACTAATCCTTAGATCTGGCAAGATTACATTAACAAAAATTCATAGTGCATGTACAAACCTTGTGCATATTTAATAACTATTTTCATGGGTTTTTAGAACATTTGAAGATATACATTTATTGAAAATGTTTATTTCTTTCTAAAGTTAAAAGTATTCTAGGCCTATAATAGTCCCCAGTTATCTTATGGAACAATTCTCATGCTTAAGGCTATAACTACCAGTATCATTTTTTTTTTAATGTGTCTATACAAAATACTTAACTTTTGGCAACAGGCCAAGAGTCAAATTTGTTTTTCTGCAAACATGGTACATTAGGAACATTGCAGAAATAATTAATAATATCCACCGCATATTTTTAAGGAAGCGATTATTATGCCGGCCTCAAAAATATGCCAACAAAGATATAATGCTAGTCTATTTCTCTGATTGGCTAATGTAAATTATGACGTCATCAAACCTTCTCGCAAGACCGCCATGAAGGGTCATGGAAGAAACACGAAAAGCCAAACACCATGGCTGATGAATGTCTAAATTGGTTATACTTTCGATAGTTTTTTTGGATGTTGAAACAAACACAAAAGAAATTTGAAGAAAACCAATGTACCGTATTAAATTGGCGCTGTAACTCTCACGGACCATCGCTGCAGCTCAGAAAGGCTGAGAAAAAGATACAGGTCACGATATTGGCGAAAAGAGAGAGATTAGATGGGCATACTACCTCTCCTAGTGACGACATTGACAGGCAATTGGGCTTTAGTTAGTATAGATTAGTAGACCTACTGTACCTTCTTGCCAGCCTAGGGCAGGCTAGACAAAATTAGATCCATCCAACCTTCGGCGACCTAGGCTTGTGATGATGAAATATTCATTCCACATTGTGGGGCGGATGATGGGTGGTGCAGTTTTTTGAAGTGCAGCGCACAATGATCGTCCTTAATCGATTATGATGCTAGACTGAGACTGATCTGATTGAGACAGACTGTAAATGTGGATAAGACAAGCCAAACCAGTCACTCGTCGCAAATCGTGTTTCAGAGAAAATGGCCAAAACATGCTGGAATGTCAAATTTTTAAAAATCTATTTTATTGCACTAAACTTTAAACCTTTATATATCTCCACATCATTCTATGCTGTTATTTTCCCCATTTTCAATGTTAAAACAATACTTTTTAAGGATTTAAAGGTAGTTTTAAAGGTAGAAATGCCTGAAATCATAAACTTTGACGGCTAATTTCTCATATATTGCTCTTTAAACAGCTGTGTGGTTAAACGCTTGACTCTTTATAAGGAAATGTCTGGTTTGAATGATTTTTTTACCATTTTATAGCTATTATTTTACTCTCTAACACTGTGTAATAACTCAAAATCGATTTTTGTGACGAGTGACTGGTTTGGCTTGTCTTTGCCACAAATCTTACTCTTATCATCATTGAAATTACACTGTAACTATAGGTCTTGGCCTGTATTTTTTGTAGGATTTTGTAATTTCAACCTACGGTATATATTCGAACAGTACTATTTGAATGTCCTACATGTTTTAAATACAGTCAATAATTTTAGGACACTTTGGGACACTTATCCAGTAGCGGCGCTACACAAGTTTGGGCAGGGAACTAACTGAACAGCACAATACTGGCAATAGACAAAAGATAAACAAATGTTTATGATTATAACAAAAAAGAGAACTGGAAAACAACTAGCGCCTAGCTGGGTTGTCTGGTGTGTCCAAGGTATAGATGGTGACTGAAAACTACACTTAATCTGATGGCCCTAACAAACCTTTACTTTTATCACTATTTGTAATTCTAACCAGCAATTTAGTAGAAAAAAGCTTTTTTCCAGCAGTTGTACAGTTAACTAATGCGTGTACTGTCTCTGCCGGCATCTGCAAAACATACAACTCGCTAATGGAAGTTTGATGCCTTTTCTTTCAAAGGTTTTGGAGAAAATATTTTCTATTTAACCCGAGACTCGCATTGATCAACATTGGCTGAATCCCAGTCGGCATATCGCAAGGGGCGCAGTGTTAGACAGCTCTTCTAAGTTGCATGGTGACATCCTCTGAGCATTGGAAATACACAATGACGTACTTCTTGCTCTACTAAGAGTTTTCATCTGCCTTAGATACCTTAGATCATGGTACCCTTTTGGCATGCATGTCATTTAATTTTGGTATTGCCGGCACGCCTCTAAAATGGATCGGATCCTATCTTAGTGATCGTAAGCAGTCGGTGGTGATGCAAAGTATTTCATCTGAGCAGAGACATGTCTCTTGTGGTGTTCCTCAGTGTTTTGTCTTGGGACCTTTGACCTTTGTTGTTTGCCATTTACACTTCTCCAGTTGAAAAGGTAATCAAGGCTCATGGATGCAAAGCCATCATGTACAGTTGTGTTTACGGTGCCTTTGATATATTGTATAGGGTATCTATACAATTTTAAACGAAACTGTCAGCATGCATCAAGGGCATTCAATAATGGGCTGCCAATATTTCGTCTCTTTCTAAATGAATCGAAAACTGAAGTTGTTCATTTTATGTCTAGTTATTCAAGAATCGCTCCACTCAGGTCAATTGAGATTTGGTAACATTTTAGTTGACATAAAATCTGAAGTCAAGAATTTAGGGTTTATTTTTGACACCAAGATGCTGCAAAGACAAGTCGGCCAGCATAGGTTGGCATATGCAAAATTGGCAGCATCAGTAAATTCCTGGATAATGAAACAACTTAGACTGGTCCATGCATTTGTTACATCCCGCCTTCACTTCTGCAACGGTGTTTTATATGGTCTTTCACTTGTTTAAAATTCAAGATTCAAAACTTTGCAGCTCGTAGAACAAATACTTACCATGCTGAAAATCTTCCCTTACCGAATTCGGTCCTGCTACCCGACCTAGTCGGGTAATCGATCATCCAACCCCCTGTCACAAGTGACAGGTCGGGTGACAGATTCGCTACTTACCTAAAATTTATTGCCCGCTGCCGGCGGCCTGCGAAGGTCGCGTACTAGTGTATTGTAGTTAGGCCTAGGAAGGTTAGTGATCTAGAGTGAGCAAGAGATATTTTGTTTAAAATGGTCAGACACGGCAAACGTAATGAATAAGCCTACAATCTAGGTTACATATATTCCTACATTTTCGATAAAAAGAAGTTAATAATTAATAATCGGGAGCGCATGTTTCGGTGTGGTGTGATGTCAAAAAGTGCATTGGCAGTCAGTAACGAACAGAAGCAACTACTGAATTTCCCGCAAATATTTTTTACTGGGAATTGTTCTTCTTTTCTATACCACAGTATAATTAAAAAGAAAATACAAATTGTGTTCACACCTAAAAATCTGGAAAATTACGATGCATAACAAACAAAAATAATAAGATTGAACTGAAGCGCCTACCCCTGGCATCCCAAGACCGAACCATTGTGTGCCCGGTGAAGCTTATTATAATAGTATTTAAACAGGTGTATTATAACGGTTAGTGCACATGTTTGAATATTAATATAATATTTAAACATGTTTATTATAACGGTTAATACACATGTTTAAATGTAGTAATGTTTAGGCATGTGTATTTATAGTTATAATACAAAATGAATACCCTGCCGCAAAATGGACGGTTCTAAATCGCCCATGACTCAAGCACATGGGCTTCTTGTTCGTTCGTGACGTTGTGCACTGGCCGTGAGAGTGAGTAATCGTCTGTAGATCGTATGCAATGAAGATACAGAATATCAGTTATAAAATCAATTTAGCATTTGATTTTAATACATGACGAGTCATTCTCTGTTCCTAAATTCTGTCAACTAAATATTCATCGATTCGGAGGCCCTATAAAATAGAGATTTACTACTCTCTGAGCCTAGATTGAAATACATCAGCTGTAAGCTGTAGAATAGCCGGGAATGTGAGTAAACATTGCTGTTGTACGCCACACGATCATAAAATAAATAGAATAAGGCTAGAATGAATCGTATTCTTATATTTATTTAGGCCAGCATAAACACCAATACACCAAAATTACCATCTTTGTTTTTTGAGAACTAATAAAATATTAATGCATCTTTCTGGCTAGTATTCTCCCGATCGCCAAGTCACGGTTTTGTGTTTGCGAAATTCGTGAAAAAAGTAAAGTAAATCCACAGACGTACAGCTACTGTCTTTTTTCATTATGATCGGATTTTGGTTTAAAACATTTTATGTTTTAAATAACAACATTCGATTCAGAAATTGTGTATACTTTCTGAAATTTGAACATGATTGGAGCAGTACTGGCTGAACTGTGTCAGATTTTCTCCTACTACCAAGGTCTTGTTTACTCATTGTGAAGGCTGTTTAGGCAGCATGCAGGCAATTAGCAATCAATCATCCAACCCACCAGTGACCATTTCTTCTAAGGGGAAGAATTTCGTCATGACACACACATTACACCTATCCTTAACGGTCTCCACTGAGCTAACCATAAAGAAACGGCTCATCTTCAAATTCATGCTAATAAAATCGAGGTCCCAGCTTACATCAGAAAATCAATTACAATAAATCACCCTTCCATGTAAATTGGGATCATAATCACATTCAAGAATCGTTGTGTCTAAGACAAGCACAGCATTTTTACTCATCATCTCATTAAAGCAATCATGTAGGATATCAATTTTCAAAAAAACCACTTAAAACTTATCTTTTTGCAACATAGACTGGCTTGCATCTTCTTTTGGGAGCCTTATCTTGGTAATCATCTCTAAGTATCCGGTTGTCTATGTCAGGGCTAATGTGTAGCCTGTTCCTTTGCTCGAGTCTGGTAGGTACTGTAGGGGTCTGGGATTACGCTAGAATGGAGTCGGATGGTGACCCCTTGAAGATTTTGCACTTTTGTTAAGCCAGTTTTATGTTCTACTTCATTGTTTTTAAAATAAACTTTTTAGTTTTATGTGATGCATATCTAGCTTTTTGCATTATGCGCATTATAAATGTAACATTATTATTATTATATTATTATTAAAATGTCAATCAGAAAATAGACCGGCAAAATAGCAACTTTGGCATATTTTCTGGTTCCGTCCGGCATAATAAACACTTTCCAACTATTCATTACATTAATGACGCACTTCATCATGTTATGACCAAAACCTAAGCGTGCACCATACACAATGCTGTTTATTATTAGCATAACAAACTCTACTACTAGGTCTAGGCCTAGTAGTAGTAGACCTTACATCCCCAACATAGGACAAGAACTTAAGAAGGCCTTCGGTGGAGCTTCGCGCTAAACTTTCTTATTTTTTACTATAAAAATGTAGGCTAAAACCATGAATGAAGGATCCTGTCTAGGCTAGGCCTAAATTCGGAAAGGCTCGAAGGCTGAAAATTGACCCTGACCGAGCCTAGCCTAGGCATACGCTCTCTAGGCTAGCGTACGCCTAGCCTAGCTAGGGTAGGTTGAGTTCTTTCTCAACGCTCGGGTATTTTGTCGTAGGCCTAGGCTACCCTCTAGGCCCTAGGCCTAGATATAAATAATTAATATTTAAAATTATAGTATTTGAATACATGGATTCACACAATATATAGGCCTAATATGATATACATACACCAAGTTTGTCCGACATTGCTGATTTCAAGAAGTTAATAAATATTAGTTGAAACTTGAATACTCAAATTCACCATCCGCCGACAATTATACGGGCCACAATATACGATTATCTGCTAAAATCTGAAACAATAACAATAGTCTAAACACCCGGCTACGTACATGCTCGTGGGGAGATTAAAGGCTTGTTTATACTTCAACGATAACGATAGGCCTAACGATAAAAACTAAAAAGCAATTATTCATATAGAAAATAAAAGAAGTTTTTACACTAGAAAGATTCGATAACGATTTATCAGTTATGCGATAACAACATATTTTGACAAATCAAATCAGATGACGTCATAATCATGAAGAACATTAAAATCGTAGTAGTAGGCCTATATATTAGCAACGATTTTATCGTTTTACCATGATTATGGCGTCATCTGATGTAAAATATTTAAAATATGTTAAAATAGTTTGTTATCGTATACACAATAAATCGTTCTCGAATCGTCCTAGTGTAAAAACTTCTATTTCTTTTGTTTTCTATATGAACAATCTCTTTTTAACTTTTAATCTTATCGTTATCGTTATCGTTGAAGTAACAGGCCGTGACCAAGTGCTGATTATGAAGTTCACCATTATGCGAGGTCTTAATGGTCTCATGGTCTGTCCTTCATTACGCTTCAATTTTCATATATAATTTATAAATATATAAAATATAATCAACTGTGTAACAGAGTA